CTAAGACATTTGACTGCTAACCAGAAGGCTGGCAGTTCAAACCCACCAGCTACTCCTCAGAAGGAAGGTTGGGCAATCTACTTCCAAAGTGATACTGCCTTAGAAACCCAAGGAGGGGTTGCTATGAGTCGGATCCAACTCCACAGCAGTGAGTTTGGTGTTTTGGGAGGTTTTTTGATAAAATAATGAACAAAACCAAACCAAACCCACTGCCGTTGAGTCAGATCTGACTCATAGCAACCCCTCCTTGGGTTTCTGAGGCAGTATCACTACGGAAGTAGATTGCCCAACCTTCCTTCTGAGGAGTGGTTGATGGGTTTGAACCACCAGCCTTCTGGTTAGCAGTCAATGCCTTAGACACTATTCCACAAGAGCTCCTTTATGAAATTAGGATAAGACAAAACAAAAGAAAAAGGGGGAACATTTTGATACACTTAGAGTCTTTTAATATTTTACCATTATGGTATTAAAAAAAAAAAACAACAACTAAATTTACTGCTGTCGAGTCAATTCAACTCATAGCAACTCCTCCCTGGGTTTCCAAGGCAGTATGTCTATGGAAGCAGATTGCCCAATATTCCTTCCAAGGTATTAAGGGTTATTATTTGGTATTATGGTATACCCAAATTGTTTAATTCCTTCAATTATACAATGCATGGGTTTAGAAAAGACATGTTTAATACAAAAATCATTTAGTGTTTGCCCATCAGGCTCCATGTTGTATTCTAAGGATATAAAGATGAAGCCTTTACTTCTAAAGATGTTCCTAATGAAATATAGTCAATGCTACAGAATATAGCTTCTTGGGGAGTCAGGAAAGATTTTACAAAGGAGGTAACATTTTAGCTGTATCCTTGGAGAGAAGTAGATGTTTATCAAGGATAGAAGGGAGGCACAGAAATCAGCATATGCTACTATACAAATTTGGGAAAGAATTTGGGTATCTAGAGAATAATATGAAGTTCAGTCTTTAATCCAAGATAAGCATGAGGGAATTATTATTATTACCATATTAAGAATAGGGTGAAAAAAAAAAAAAAACTCTCTCCCATTGAGTCAGATCCGATTCATACCAACACCTCCTTGGCTTTTCAAGGTGGTATCTCTACCAAAGCAGATTGCCCAATCTTCCTTCTGAGGAGTGGGTAGTGGGTTTGAACCACCAGCATTCTGGTTAGTAGTCAAATGCCTTAGGCACTATGCCAGCAGAGCCCCTAAGAATAGGGTAGAACCATTTATTTCTCTGAAGGCATCAGTCTTGCACAAGTTGAGGTAGAAGGGACCTGTGTTTTTGGGACTTCCAAGATCTTGTGATCTTCTCATTTGCTTTTATATTAAACATATTTTCAGCATGGCTTATTACTTTACAAATATCAATGAAGTACAGACTTTGAGAGGTCAAATGTGAGGTTCCTAAAAGTACTCTGTTGTTGTTATTTGCCGTTGAGTTGGCCCCAACTCATAGAGACCCCTCCTTGGGTTTCCGAGGCAGTATCACTACGGAAGTAGGATCGCCCAATCTTCCTTCTGAGGAGTGGCTGGTGGGTTTGAACTGCCAGCCTTCTGGTTAGCAGTCAAGTGCCTTAGGCACTATGCTACCAGAGCTACTCTAGTCAGATGGATATCAATTCTGTGTTGAAAAGATTACCCAGTCTTGTGGAGTATTTAGAGCATGCTAAGCATCATCATCTCACTTATATATTCTATTTACTTTACAAATTCACTATCTTTTAGAAACACATTCCACAGATTCCAACATGTCTACTGGCACAGACTTTAATGTTTAATGACTCTTATCAAAAGCAAGCCAACCAAACCCACTGCCATTGAGTCAATTCCAACTCACAGAAGAGTAGAACTGCCCATAGGGTTTTCAAGGCTATAAATATTTATGGAAGCAGACTGCCTCATCTTTCTCTTGTGCAGCAACTGGTGGGTTCGAATCTCCAATCTTTTTTGTTAGCAACCAAATGCCTTAACTACTGTGCCACCCAAAGTCCATGACTATTATAATCAACCAGTAATTCCTGTTACCTTGAATTTATCATTCTGTTGTTCTGAGCAGGTATCCTCTGATAAACTCATGATTCTCACAATGGAACACGTCACAATGCACAACCCTCAATGCCTTAAATAACCATGAATAGGTGATTCCATAATGGTGGCATTTGTAAGGTTCCTTCTAAAATTCCAAATTCCCTGTCTCAGTTAGTGGCATTACTTTTTTTCTAATCATGTGAGCATTTTTTTTTTTTTTTTCAAATGTCCTTTTCTCCTCAGATTAGCTGCTAAGTCTTACCAATGCAAGTCTCTTGCATGAGACTTCTTCCATGAAGTCTCTTGTATCTGATCCCTCCCTCATATTCCTATTGTTTTGGAGAAAATTTCCATCACCTTTCACCTGAATGAGGGCAGCCACCTTCTACTTAGTCCTATACTTCTTTTCTCCCTGTTAGCCCATCTTAGAAGATACTGTCAAAAATTATCCTTAAAAAAAAACACTAATATTTTACTCATTCCTGATATACAGCCTTCAACAACTCTCTACTATTTGCAGAGTGAAACCCTAATTCCTCACCTATCCATTAGTCTAGCTTTCCTGTCTATTTCCTATGCCTGTTATCTCATGCCCCCTACAATATTCAGTGCCAGTAGGCTGCCTCAGCAACACTTGCCTACCTTTCCTAATCCAGTCCTGCCTTTGAGCTCTGGTTCATGGCCTTCTTTCTTCCTTGAATATTTTCCTCAATCTCCCTTCAAAATGTTTTATTTCATTAAAGGTCCAATTTGAAATGTAACTCCTTCACAAGTGTTAAAGTCATACAGATGTATACTACTATATGTGCAATCCTTCAGTGACAGCAATAACAATAATCTACAAGTGGATACATAGACAGACATACAAGCTGAACAAGTGTGAGAAGGAGAATGGGACTTTACTTGTGAATATATATAGGTCTGACAGAAGATATATATTTACATATGCTGCAAATACATCCATGACTATAGAAGAGCATGCAGGGGACCAAACCAAATCAAACTCACTGCTGTGAGTCAGATATGACTCATAGTGACCCCTTCTAGTGTTTTTGAGGTGGTGTCACTACAGAAGTAGATTACCCAATCTTCCTTCTGAGGAGTGGCTGGTGGGTTTGAACTGCCAGCCTTCTGGTTAGCAGTCAAATGCCTTAGGCTACCAGGCTTCCCATATAAGGGACAGAGTTATGAAAATGTCTTAGCTATAACCAAAACCTTGATGGAATGAGTCACTGAGCTTGTGGGCTCAGGACTATAGTCACAGGGGACAACAAGGTCAATTGGCATAATATAGTCCACAAGAAAATATATTACATCCTAGTTTGTTGAATAACGATTGGTGACTTACAAGCTTGTGAGCAGCCATGTAAGGTGCAACTATTGGTCTTTCTCCATCCAGAGCAAAGAAGCTTGAAGAATATAAAAAATACATGGAAACTGCCCAAAGAATAGACCATGTGAAACTCAGCTTTTACAACCCTGAGACCAGAAAAACTAGATGGTACCTAGCTACCACTACTGACAAGTCTGAAAGGGATCACAGTAGAAGGTGTTGGTTAGAGTGGGAGAAAAATGTGAGACAGAACTCAGATTCATAAAAAAAGTCCAGGCTTACTGATTGGATAGAGATGGTGGAACCCTCAAGACTATGACCTTTAGTCATACTTTGGACCTGGACTGAACTCACTCCCATTGCTCAGTTTTCAGCCAAACAGTAGAAATATCTGCAAGGCGAACAATAACTCAAGGAAGGTATGCACTCCTTAAAACAAACAACCGTTTGAGATCAAAAGGGCGACATTTCCCCAAGGACAAAGTTCAGAAGGCAGAAAGGGTTCAGAAAGGAGGAGGAATGGAAATGAGAAACAGGAAGGAAATGAGATGAGTGATGTTACATTGAGGGGATTTCCATCAGTGATATGAAACAAAATGTGTATGGATTATTGAATGGAAAAGTGATTTGCTCTATAAACTTTCACTCAAAACACAATAAAAAGTTAACAAACAAACAAACAAACAAAAAAACTTCCAAAAAATCCTCCTTGATTTTATTTTACTGGAAGTGATCCCACTCTTCTCTGTATTGTCATGTATATTTTGTTAAATGTTAACCATTGTGTTTACCATATTCTTCTTAGAATTATTCATATGGATGCCATAACCACTCCAGTAAATAATACATAACTCAAAGATGCCTGCCTCATATTGTGCTCTACCCAGGGTCAGAATGTTGCATCTATCTGGTGATGGCTAAGAGTTCTACTCCAAAGAGCTCACCCAGCACACGCTCGCCCAGGCCTCCGAGCTCCATGTATGCTGTGTGGAAGGCCTTGGCTGTGCTCTCATCCAGGGGCTGTTCTTGGCCGTTGATCATGATGGTGCTGCACTTCTCTAAGATCCTCTCAGGAGCCCCTTTCATTACCATGAGGAAGCCTTTGTCATGAGGGTCATCTGTCTCATGGATGGAGAGCTGGGAGAAGAGAAATAATTGAGCATGTTACACACAGTGTATTATCTACTACTGACTCTGTCTTCTTTACTAGGGGCATGAACTCTACAGACCTTTTAGAAACTAACATGACAGGAAGGTGAGAAATATCTCTTACTCTTTTTGCGGTTACTTGTCCTCAAAATGTAAAGACGGAAGATGAATAATGATATCCACAGTAATGAATGTTCTATCCTCTTTATCCTGTGGCCAAGCAATATGTAGAAATCTAGACATGGTCCCAGCACAGAGAGGCACTTTGAGTTTGAAACCAAACTAAATAGAAGCTGTCTTTCAAACAGAAGGGGATTGCTTTAGAGAAGGGGATTAAGACCAGATACAGCTGTAAATCTGTGAAATCTTGGGTCTTAAATAAGATCTGCAATTCTTGTAAGAGAGGTGGGAGCTCTGAGCCTCCACATCTTATTTCCTGTCTCTTCTTCCATATTGTAAGTAGCACTATTTCAAACACAACTACTCTGATCTCAGACAGATGTGATGTCAGCAGGAATCCCCTATGCCTCTTCATCTTGGAATTGATCCACTTTTACTGCTTTGATGTCAGAGAAAATGCTGAGAGTGTAAGGAGTTGCACACTCTCATGCACATTCTTTCTGGAGGATAGTTAAGTAACAGTTCTCACAATTTCAGTACGAATACCATTTGACTTAGCAATTCTACTTCTAGATTTATCCTAATACGATAATAAAAAATTGTGTGTGGTGGGGGCAAGGCTAACCCTCACAGTCCTTATTATATACCCGGTACTCTTCTGGCATAGTACCATTTGACTGCTAACCAGAAGTTTAGAGGTTCAAACCCACCAGCTGTTCCAAGGAAGGAAGATGGGACAATTTACTTTTGTAAATATTTACAGTCATAAAAATATAAAAAACATAAAAACACAAACAAACAAAACAAAACACCTGCCATCTTATCATCATCATCATTTTCTAAAAGATGTTGTTGTTATGTGCCGTCAAGTTGGACCCAACTCATAGCAACTCCTCCTTGGGTTTCCAAGGCAGTATCAGTACAGAAGTAGATTGCCCAACCTTCCTTCTGAGGAGTGGTTGGTGGGTTTGAACTGCCAGCCTCTGGTTAGCAGTCAAGTGCCATAGGCACTATGCTACCAGAGATCCCTTCTAAAAGATAGTGCATTTTAAAATATAAAAATAGGAACAACATAGGCAATTTTATAGTGTGTACTATGTGCTAGGCTCTGTTGTCCTAAGTGCTTCACACATTACTCATCTAATATTCAAAATAACTCTAAGGCAGTGGGTACTATTATTACCCCATTTTGCAAATGAGGAAACTGAGGCACAGAGAGGTTAACTGACTGGCTCAATTAAAAGGACAAGCTTTTAAATTAATTTTTCTAATTTGCCATAAATTGTGGAAAGTATTTTCATAAACTAGTCTCAGTGTGGGGAATATTACTAAGACCATAATACATGGACTTTTCACCATTTTTCCCTCACTTGAATTACATATCATAGAATTGATAATGCTCTCTACAGCCCTTTGTTTGGAATGGAGTTTTGTTCTTTTGTTGTGTCTCTGTTTAGCTCTATGAGCATCCATACAAGGAACTCTGGTGGCATAGTGGTTAAGGCATTTGGCTGATACTCAAATTTGGGTAGTTTGAGCCCACCAGCTGCTCTGTGGAAGAAAGATTGGGCAGTCTGCTTCCATAAAGATTTATAGCCTTGGAAACCTAATGGGGGTTGCTATGAGTCAGAATATACCTGATGGCAGTAGGTTCGGGTTAAGGAGCTCTGGTGGCCTAGAGCTTAAGGCATTTATTTGACTGCTAACCAGAAGGCTGGCAGTTCAAATCCACCAGCCACTCCTCAGAAGGAAGATTGGGCAATCTACTTCTGTAGTGATACCGCCTCAGAAACCCAAGGAAGTGTTGCTATAAATCGGATCCAACTTGACAGCAGTGAATGTGATAGTTCTTTGACTTGTTCAGCAGGAGCCTACACAGAGACTGGGCCTCTCTCCTTTTTAGTTCCAACTTTGCCTGGCCCACTTTCTACCCTAATTTTCTGTACACGAAAATGTACAGGCCTCATGGAACCTGCTTTTTTTCCCCCCTCATTTTTCACAGCCTAGACATACATTGCTGCTATGTCAAGCCCAAGTCAAGATCCCCTGCTCTCAGCTTTGTATGACATGGGAAATCCCATCTGCAGCAGTATCTTGGGCCATAAACAGTTACTTCTCCTGCTTGGAAGAGGAAGGTGGGGATGGTTTTTGGCCACTCCTGGAGTGAGAGGAGACCAATACACAAGGTTGCTATTTCCTTACTGCACAATAGGAAGAAAGGTAGAAAGATGATCCCTATCAGGTGCTTACAGGCCATGTGACAGACTACTCTCTTGTTTTCACAAAGGGCAGGACTTACTCACATGGTCTGAAATTAAACTGTTCTGCATTTGTGTTCTGGTAGAAAGGCATGAACCTTGCGGTTAAGCAGACTTATTATGAAAATTGTTTTTGCCACTTAGAGATTTAAGTCAACACTTTTCAAGGGCTTATTTCTTTATTTATAAAATGGGATTTATTAGTACTATTTCACAGGTATATTGTGAAGATTAAATAAAATAATGTGCTTACCATGCCAGATATATACTGGGTGTGCAGTAAAGGTTAGTTCTCCCCCTTCCCTATCACTTTCACATAGCCTATTGCCTTACACTTGTATAAAAGTTACTTTAAAGATAGGATCTGTCATCAGCATTTTATTTGTTAGAAACACATCTCCTAATATAAGAAGCTGGGAGGAGCTCTGGTAGCGTAGTGCCTAAGGCATTTAACTGCTAACCAGAGGGCTGGTGTTCAAACCCATCAGCCAATCCTCAGAAGGAAGGTTGGGCAATCTACTTCTGTAGTTATAGTGCCTTGGAAACCCAAGGAGGGGTTGCTAGAGTTGGATCTGACTCAACAGCAGTGAGTTTGGTTTTGGTTTAATATAAGAAGCTGGTGTGTGTGTGTGTGTGTGTGTGTGTGTATGTATGTTTAATTATATCACACATGTGCACATGTTTTTGTATATGTGTATGTATGGAAGTCTCTGGCTGTCACAAACAGTTAGTGCTTGGCTACTAATCTAAAGGTCAGAGGTTCAAGACCACCCAGAGGTACACTGAAAGAAAAGACTGGTGATCTATTCCTGAAATGTCATCCTTTGAAACCCTATTGAGCATAGTTCTACTCTGACACACATGAGTCAGAGTAGACTTCATGGCTATTGGTTTGCTTTTTTTATGTACATATATGCAGGTATGTACAGTAGTTCCCTTTCATGTTCCAACATCCACAGTGGATGCTGAAACCACAGAGAGTACAAAACTCTGTATGTACTATGTTTTGTCCTGTAAATAGACACCTACAATAAAATCTAATTTATAAATTAGGCACAGTAAGATATTAACAATAACTTATAGGAGGGTAGTGTATACAGTGTGGATACACTGACCAAAGTATGATTCATGTCCTGGCACGAAGTAGTGGGATGGTGTGAGATTTCATCAAGCTACCTATTTAACATTTTTGGACAACGGCTATGAGTAATTGAAACCATGGAAAGTGAAAATGTGGATAAAGGGAGACTGGAGAAGGGGGACTGCTATATATATATGTATGTATATATGTATGTATGTATGTATGTATGTACTTGTATGTGTGTGTATAATACAGAGGGATCATGCATAGGAGTAGCCAGGCCTTCATCTTTCTCTCTCTGCTCTATCCTGCTTCAGGGAAAGGAAGGAGGCTGGGGAGAAAACTTGATCTGGGTTTATCAGATGCCCTGCATCCCTGTGGACTACTTTTGAAGTCAGCCATCATTCAAAATATGTACTACTCAATAGGTATGTGCAGGTAGAAATATCATTCTGGTGATAATAAAAATTGCCAGTTATGAGGAAAAACTTACCTGAAACTTGTTGGTAGAGTTAAAGGGGATTTCAGCTACTTTGGGGTTTCTTTTTCTAATTTCCATCACATCACCCAAAATGACCTCTGAGAATTTTAAGAGAGCAGTTTCTGAGGCATCTCCAACCACAATTTTCTGAGAATTAAAAGAAATAAATATATGCAGCACATAATCTGGTTCTTTTGTGACTTGTTTTCAGTGAACCAATCTGCCTTTAACACATGAACCAACATGTCTTCTGACCAAGAGTTTACAATCTAGCAGGAAATTTAACTGCTAACCAGAAGGCTGGTGTTCATCAATCAAGATGGTTCATCAGTCAAGGCTGGTATAATCAAGATGATTACATGACATTAATGAATGATTAAGACAATGATGGTGCCACAATATGTGGCATTAGAGAAGTTCAAAGAGACTGGAGCCCAGTGAAGACTGGGATATTTCATGAGAGAAGCAGCTATTGAACTAGATCTTGAAAAATGGGTGAGTTATAGACAGAGAAGTCAGAAGAAAGCCTTATAGAAACCAAGATACCATGGGTAAAATATAAAAGTGTTGGACATGGATGTATGGTAAGATGATGGAGAGCCGTGAAATGCAGGCTAAGCTCTAAACTTGAGAAGCAGGAAATAGCAATGTACTGAAAATTTTTCAGCAAAGTTAGGTGAAGATGAAAACAGTATTTAAGAAAAATGAGTGGCATGCAAGAAACACAGGAAGAGGGATAAAATGGAATCGAGAAGGCAATTAAGAGATTGTTAGAGTTATTTAGACACAAGCTGTTGATAAGTATAAAATTAGATATACTTTGAAGCAAAATGATAGGACTTGGTAACTAACACACACACACACACACACACTCTCACTGTTGACGAGTCAGATCTGACTCATAGCGACCCTTTCTTGAGTTTACAAGGCAGTATCACTATGGAAGTAGATTGCCCAACTTTCCTTCTGAGGAGTGGCTGGTGGGTTTGAACCGCCAGCCTTTTGGTTAGTAGTCAAATGCCTTAGGAATTACCCCACCAGAGCTCCTGGACAGAAAAAGGAGAACAAACAATAACTGTAAGAAAGCAAAAGAGTTAATGAAAGAAACAGATAGCAAATAGAAAAGCCAGGGGAGCTTTTATAAGTCTCTCAGTTACTCACTGAAGAGTAAGAAGATGAAAAGGGTGGAAGGAAAGAGGAAAAAGATGAGGAGAGGGAAACAGTTAGCTATTTATTCCATTACACCAGAACCCATGTTCTAGATACTCTAAGACCAGTTTCTTAATTTCCATCCAACTACATTTTTAAAGTTCAGTAAAAGGCATTTAAAGGAGCTCCAGTGGTGTAGAGATTAGGCATTTGACAGCTAACCAGAAGGTCAGTGGTTCAAACCCACCAGCTTTTCTGCACAAGGAATATGGGGCAAGCTACTTCCGTAAAGATTTATTGATTGAGAAACCTAATGTGGGTCATTATGAGTCAGAATCAACTTGATGGCAGTGAGTTTGGTTTTGGGGAATAGCATTATGTAATAATGAAATTTTGACTACATCTACTTAGCTGGTAAAGAAGTTAGGGAGAGAAAGTAACTTAAAGAAACAATCATTTCCTGGAATGAAATAGAATTTTCAAAATCACCTAAGTCAACATTCTGAGACCTTTGTCTGTGAATTCTCAAAGCTACTTAGAAGGAAAGAAATTTTCTTCATATCTTCAGAAAGAGAAAGAAACTTTTGAATTTATGGCTCATATTTTCTCTCATTAGTACAAAGTTTACTCAATTGGAGAGATCAAATCAAACAACAAATCAGAACAGAGGAAGTGGCTTTAAACTGGCTGTGATTTAAGACCAAGTTAAGCAGAAGTCTTACTTTCATGATGGGAACACTTTCCTGTCCTGGCTTGAACTCAGCTCGGTTACACAGTGTTATTATCTTGGATAAGGAGGCCCAGGTCCCAGAGCTTCGGTCAAATGTTTGGTCTGGAAAACAAAAAAATGGACAACGGGTGCTGGATGTGCTATCAAGTAGTCATCCTGCTTAAACAATCCTCAGAGACTGCAAACCAACACCAACTCCCACCCCTTATGCTCAGGTCCACAGCTATGGACCATGCTGAACATTCCACAAGACTTACTTGAATGATCTTCACTTGTGTCAGCCGTGAAGATCTGATTGTCAAACCAAAGATGGGCCACAGTCATCCTGTTTTGAGTCAGAGTCCCAGTCTTGTCAGAGCAGATGATGGAGGTAGAACCAAGGGTCTCCACAGCCTCTAGATTCTTCACTAGGCAGTTCTTCTTGGCCATCCGTTTTGCTGTCAGTGACAGAGTCACCTAGATGGGAAAGAGAAAGAAGTTTTTGAAAAAAGCATAGATAGATATTACTAAACATTTTGATCAAAGATTCTGTAGAAGAATTCTGATCAAAAGGGAAAAATGAGACTGGAATTTCAAATTCTCATGGACTCCAGACTTTCTGGAGCCATGGAGGCTGGATGAACCCCTGAAATTATTGCCCTAAGGTTCTCTTTTAACCTTAAACCAAAAGTATCCCCTGAAAACTTCTTAAAACCAAACAATAGCTTAGTTTAACTAGTAAAGAATGTCTGCCTTGACCATGGGAGCCTCAGCCTACATGACTCTTGGACCAGAAGAACTGGATAGTGCCAGGCTACCACTGTCAACACTTGAAAATGGATCAGTGTAGGATATCCTGCATAGAGTAGGAGAAAAATGTGGAACAAAACTCAAAATCATAAAAAAAGACCATGCTTACTGGTCTGATAGAGACTGTGGTCCCTTAGTCACCCTTCAGGCCTGGAACTAAACTCACTCCAACGGCTTCAAGCCAAGCAATAGACAGGCTATAAGGTGAATATTTGTACCAGGTAGGATCAGAAGGGCAATATTTGTACAGGGAGATAGCTCAGAGGACAGGAATGCATAGGGAAAGACACAGGGACAAGGTAACCACAGGAAGGAAGTGGGAAGAGAGCTGTTTCATTGTGGGGATTGCATTCAACATCACAAAACAAAATGTGTATGCTGTTGTATGGAAAATGAATTTGCTCTGTAAACTTTCACCTAAATCACAATTAAAAAAAAAAAAAAAAGGAATGTCTGCCTTGAACATCATGTTCTTTTAGATCTACCTACATGGTATCAAACTGACAACATCTCGAAAGATTAGATGGGAACCTTAGGGGGCAATGCCTTTCTTTGAATGGGGGAAGAAAAACCTGGAAAAGGAGGGTGACAATGGTTGCACAACTTGAAGAATGTAATCAATGTCTAATCAATGTCACTGAACTGTACAAGTAGAAACTGTTGAGTTGCTGTATGTTTTCACAGTAACAAAATAAATAAAACTTTTAAAAAGCATAGACAGAAAAATAACTACTTTGACCTTAGTTTCAATAACACATAAACAGCTAACTTTAGCAGTGATTGAATTTTAAGAGAACAAGACTAATTTTAGGAGAGAAGAGGTATAGTTACGGATGTAGCAAAAACAGACCTTGTGGTTTATAAGCTTTATATGCCAAAATTCTTTTCTTTAAATTTTTTTTTATTTTTGTCCCTTCATCTTTTGAAGAAAATGATCCTGAGGGACACAAACGTGGCAAAGAAAGGCAAGATTGCTGTGGCCTGTATTCATTATAATTAATGAATTGAGCTTTGGCCATCAATCAGCTGTGTCCTTTGTAAAGGATAAACGTATAAGTGAAACAATGACTGGTATATATGAAGGAGGTTGTTCCAAAGAACTCACTTGTTGCTTTGGGGAATCAAGAAGTATTTGTGTGTCATTTTCACAATTCCATATTTTAAAGAACAATACCTCTCTCTTTTAAACTCCCTGATCTCAAAGGATTCTCTTGGTTCCAATTTCTTCAAATACAATCTCAGGAGTCAGAAGAGATCTGGAGTTCAAAAAAAATTCTTTCTGTCTTTGAGCAGGATAAAAGCAGACCAACGATTCTGTAGGCTACTTTTACATATAACTAGAAATATGAACCTCTTCCTTCCTCTACCCACAAGGCCTTCACAGCAGAGACTAGGAAGGAGGGTGGCTTTTGCCAAAGGTTTTAATTAGGTGAGAAGTTACAAAGGGAGATCTAAAGCTGAATTTGACATAGGAGTGGCAAAGAAATTAAGTGCTTTGAAGAAGAAAATGGGAGCAATTCTAATATATGCTCCTGAGAGACAGAAGAGAATTGAGGCAAATAATGTGACTTGGAGATTGTGCCTAACTTCCTAAGTTAATACTGCCAAGGCATTTTTCTTTTCTTTCTTTCTTTTTTTTTTAAGGAGTTGCAGGGAAAGCATTATGCTCCTGAAAAAAAATATATCAGTGATGATTCAAGTCTGCCTTATTCAATCTTAAGGAGCAAAGTAACTTGCATGATTACAGATAACAAAAAAACCAAACCCACAGCCATAGACTTGATTCCAACTCATAGTGACCCTATAGGACAGAGCAGAATGGCCCCATAGAGTTTCCAAGGTTGTAAATCTTTATGGAAGCAGACTGCCTTATCTTTCTTCCATGGAGTGGGAGGTTTGAAGTGCTGACCTTTTGGTTAGTAGTCAAACACCTTAACTACTGCACCACAGATATAGCTCCTGAAAATGAAAATGTAAAATTTTCAAGGACAATGCATTCTAATATTAAAAATATCAAAATTTCTTTTGTCCCTCTAAGAAATAATCTATTCAAAATGTTCCATTGTTGGCCATGATGGGGCAAGAGTTTCACTAAAGATAGAGGAGCCTTGTAGTTTGCTTGCGGGAGCTTTCCTAGCATAAATGTTAAGTGTTAACAATGTCAGTATATAGGAAAAGTTGGTGGCTACCTAACAGCATGGACTCACAGTGACAGTGGCCAGGAGGCCCTCAGGCACATTGGCTACAATGATGCCAATGAGGAAGATGATGGAGTCCAGGACAGGATACTTCATGGACACTGCGATGATGAAGAAAATAATGCCAATGGAGACGGCCACTCCTGCCACAATGTGAACAAAATGCTCGATCTCAGTGGCAATGGGTGTCTTCTCATTTCCAACTCCTGAAGCCAGTGAGGCAATTTGTCCAATGATGGTGCGGTCACCTGTGTTGATGACCATGCCAGTTGCTGTGCCTACAGGGGAAGTAGAAATTTTATTCCACGAGTCCTTGACAATGAGGGGAACAAATTCTGCTTTGTAGTCCTCCCTATAAAGTGATCATGGTGGCTTACATGGTCAATCAGTACTTGACATTTGCAGTGGCTAAGTTGGTGTGTCAGCTTGGTTACACCTGGTTGAGTGGCTGGGCAGCTGGTGGTAGTTATTCCCCATGATGAGACTGGCAATCAGCTCCATGGTGGGACCTACCACAAACAGCTGAGTAGCTGCTTTAGGGATGTGGTCTACTTCCCGTTTATAAGAAACAGCTTTGGGAATGGTCTCTAGCTTACGGCGTTGAACCCTGCATGTAGCCAAGTCATTGTTCAGCAGCCTGCTATGCTCTGTCAACTTTGGGATTTTAAGGGACTTGAATTAATGGCCTGCTGTGTGGTTTGGTAACATCGGAACTGTGCCATTTTATTTGTCAACCTTGGGCTTGTCAGCCTCCTCGGCAGCCGGTAGGTGCCTGAGTGAAGAGATGCCTCTAGCTTCAGTGGGCTGGGAGCAAGAGGCAGAGTTGAAGCCCAAGGTCAAGTGGCTTTCACAAAGCCCCTAGAGCCTGGCACTTTGAACTTGGACTTCTAGCCTCCTGAATTGTAAGAGAATAAACTCCTGTTTGTTCAAGCCATCCCATTTGTGGCATATTCTTGTCAGAGCAGCACTAGGTAACCAAAACAGAATATAGTACTGAGAGAGTGGGGTGCTGCTCTGACAGATACCTAAAATGTGGAAACAGGAGTGGAGTGCATCCTTGATCCAAGATCCTGGCAGAGAGACCCCGACATGTGGCATGAGCGATGGTAGCAGCAAAGCCAAGAGACTGGCAGAGAGATACCGGCAGAGAGGCCAGCATGAGAGATGGTAGTAGCAGAGCCCAGAGATTGGCATTAAATAGCAACAAGCTTATGAGCCCATGGAGGAGAAATCTGGGCACCTTTGGGTAGGTGGCTTCCTGGTGGAATGGGTTGCCTTCAGGCATTAATTGATAGAAGAGACCGGCATGAGAGGGAGTAGCAGCTTGGCCAGCCCACAGAGTGTCCTTTGGGCAGGAAGATTCCTGGCAGAGTGGGTTGCCCTCGGGTATTAATTGGCAGAAGCAGAGAGACCAAGGAAACTAGAAGCAGAGATCCCTCAGCCTCAAGGGTAGGACCATGGCCTCTGGGGATGGAACCACCATAGCCCTCTTGGTTCAAAGAGCCAGACCTTCACCAACTTCGTTCTGGAATGTGGGGCTGCTCGTTCATGTGAGCCAGTGGGATGGAGTCATAGCTGCTGCCCAAGAGTGAGGGGGCAGGGCTGCCATGTCTAAGAGGGAGAGGAACATGGTCTGGCAGGCCAAGGGGCTGAGGTCACTACTCAGGAACTAGGGGACTGGAATCACCCAGTGAAGGAGATCTGTACAGATACCACCCATTGAAGATCTGTACAGGTGCCAAGTTGACAAGGGGTGGAATTGTAGTGGTTGAGTTTGTATGTCAACTTGGCTAGACCTGGTTGAGGGGCTGGGCAGCTGGTGACAGTTATTCCCCATGATAAGACTGGCAATCAACTCCATTGTGGGACCAACCACAAGCAGCTGAGTAGCTGCTTTGCATATGTGGTCTGCTTCCCATATATAAGAAACTGCTTTGAGAATGGTCTCCAGTTTATGGCACGCTTGAACCCTGCATGTAGCTGAGTCATTGTTCAGCAGCCTGGCATGCTCTGCTGATCTTGGGATTTTCAATGGACTTGAATCAATGGCCTTCTGTGTGGTTTGGTAGCATCGGGACTATGCCATTTTTTTTTTTTTGTCGACCTTGGGCTTGTTAGCCTCAGCAGCCAGTAGCTGCCTGAGTGAAGAGATGCCTCTAGCTTCAGTGGGTGGGGGCAAGAGGCAGAGTTGAAGCCCAAGGCTGAGGGGCTTTCACACAGCCCCTAAAGCCTGGCATTTTGAACTTGGACTTCTAGCCTCCCAAACTGTAAGAGAATAAACTCCTGTTTGTTCAAGCCATCCCATTTCTGGTATATTCTTGTCAGAGGGGCACTAGGTAACCAAAACAACATTGCAGGACAAAAATCAGTTTCCTAGGATCTTCAATTTCACATTTAATCTGGGGAAAGCTTTGTAACAAGAAATGGTAAAAACATAAGGTCTAAGGAGGGAGAAGTGCAGCTGGTCCTTAGAGCCTGGCAGAGTTACCTTCCAGACAGGTTGTAGAATAGAAGCCAATGTTTTTTGTTTCCAGGGGATTGTCATGAGTGAAGTTACAGGACCGGGACTGGGGCTCAGATTCCCCAGTGAGAGACGAATTATCTACCTAGAAGAAATTTTGAAATATCTTCAAAATTTTGTTAAATTTTCCTGCTTCAGTTATGCTAAAGTCAGTAAAGCCAAAAGAATGCCAACTAGCTTCAAACTTGATCCTTAGGGATGTCCCATGATATTTACCTTGCATCCCTGAGAAGACAGAAATCGGATGTCTGCAGGAATCTGGTCTCCTCCCTTGATCTCCACTATGTCCCCCACAACCAGCTGTTCTGAAGGGATTGTCTTCTTCTCTGCATCTCGGATGACAAGAGCTTGCTGGGAAAGAAAAATGTGACAGATGACTCAGATCCTGAAATGATGCTATTCTCCCTCTTTCATTTATACCTGTGCTGAATCTCTGAAATGGAAGGATTAGAATCCATGGATGTAAGAATAGCAAAAAATAAAACGAAAATGTACCTGGGATCTGAAGACCCCAGAACTAGTTTTTACTTGAGGAGGAGGTCACAGAGATACTCTCAGAATCAGAAAAGTCTGTTGAATGGAGATATAGCAAAGTGAGAGACATAGGCCTGATGGAAGAAACAGTTAAGGATGAATGATGGCTGTCACATGCAGGAAGAACACTGACGGTGAAGCCAAGGGTTCAATTTTCTTCCTAGAGCAGGGAAAACTCTAAGAAGATGGATCCTTTGCACCCACAAACTTTCCTTTTGGCTGGCAGTTCTTTGGGCTAAGTACAACCCAGCTCTCCTGCTCTGAGTCAACAGTGGCACATAGACTCCATAGAAGACACATAGCAGAAGAGTGTGAAGAGGAGAGCACTGGTATCTCATACTGACAGCATCCAGGGCAACATGCACTGAGCTCAGGAATGGAAATAAAATGGTCCCAGAAAAAGAATCATAGGTTGATCTCTTTGACTGCCAGTGAGCACTCCCTGAACTTCAACAGTTTACTCACTGAATCACCTGAATAAAGCACTTGTCCAAATGGTTCAGAAATACTTTAGAGCAGTAGCAGAAGATGCTGTATAATGATTAATATTTTGGTCTTACTTGATCCCTGACAAAGCATTTTCCTGTTTCTTACTTCATTTGATTATCTCAAAACCCCGTGAAGAAATGGGATCCCAAGACAGCAGGTAACTTGCTCATGATTTATCAGACAGCAAGTGATAGGGCCAGGGCTTAGGCACAGATTGTCTGTCACCAAAATTTGAATTTTTCATTAGTTAATGCTTCTTCATACGAAAGTAATGCAGACAATAGAAGAGCGATGACTAGGCTACTCACCTGAGGAATCATTTTACTGAAGCTGGCCATGATGTTGGTACTTTTTGCCTCTTGGTAATAAGCAAACATACCTGTTAAAATAACAACCAGGGCAAGCACGGCACCCAAATACACCTGAGTGATGAGGAGAGGAGTCAATCAGAAAAACAGATAATAGAAATGCGCCAGATCCTAGGGCTAGATCTCTCCATGGAAAGGTGAGACATATGGCATTTGGTATGATATTATTTACATGCCATAAAATTTATCTAAGTGTACAATGCAATGATTATTTAGTTGCTTTTTTTTTTTTTTTTAATCTTAAGCAAATTTACAGAGTTCTGTAACCATCACTACTATCAGGCTTTAGAACATTTCTGTCACCCCACAAAGCTCACTCACCCATGCCTGTTTGTAGTCAATACCCCACTCCCATCCCTAGCCCTGAGCAACCACTAATCTGTTCACTGTTCTTATGATTTTCCTTTTCTGGACATTTCAAGTCTTCTGTGTCTGGCTTCTTTCTTTTAGCATAATGTTGGCCAATTCAGTTTTGTAGTTTAGGTTCCCATTTCTCAACAAGTATAGATGATCTCCATGTACAAAAGAGAGAATTAGTTTTGAGAATAAGATCTCAAAAATACTTCACATGGGTGTAGGGGTTTTTTTTTTTTTTTGCCTTTAGGAACTTATGGTGCTCCTCCCCCTACCCCCACTTTTTTTTTTTTTTTTTTTTTTTTTTTTAATTCATGCTCATACTGCCTCTGAAAGATTAGGAAGTTACCATTAATTTCTGTTTTACAGATGGGAAAATTATTGATTTCTAAAACCCATTCAGTGCTTAGGTGTAGTGTCTTGACTGAAGTCTAGTGCTCTGCTTACTAAGGCCTAATCACATGGTTTTGTTCTCCCTTATTACCAAGTAAGTAGAACCATGTAGGGAATCAGCCAGGGGCTTACATTGTCTAGAGATGAGGATGGATTGTTGGAGTACTGAATCCAAAATGAGATCCAGCACAGGATGGCTCCAATCCAAAGAAGGATAGAGAAGCCCCCCACCATCTGCTTGAGAAACTTGACAATCTCTGGGGTCTCCTTAGGAGGGCTGAGGGTGTTGGGCCCATCTCGAGCCAGGAGCTCTGCAGCTCTTGCACTGGAGAGACCCTGCCACGGCCAAACAAAAACAAAACAGGATTTAGGTATTCTTCTCCCTTGGGGGGTTGGATCAGATTTCTGCAGATTGAAGTTAGGAGTTAATGTGCCAGCCTAAAATATGACAAGTGGACAATTGCCTCAATAGCCTTCTTACTCATGTTTAAAGAATGTGTAATGCTTAATATGACCCAGACATCATTTTAAGTTTCCTGGAAGAAGCGTAGCTGGAATGCTCCTTGGAAAGTAGAATGGCCAGACTTTGTCTTACCTACTTTGGTCATGTTGTCAGAAGGGACCATTCCCTGGAGAAGGGTATCATGCTTTGTAGGGTAGAGAGTCAGCAATAAAGGGGAAGACCCTCAACAAGATGGACTGACACAGTAGCTGCAACAATATGTTCAAGTATAGCAAGGATTATGAGGAGGGCACAGGACTGAGCAGTGGTTTCTTCTGTTGTACATAGGGTCACTATGAATCAGAGCCAACTCGATGGCATCTAACAACAACACACATATTTATTCATTTACTCCTTTAAAGAACCCTATGAGGAAGGTGCTATTATTATCTTTATTTTATACATGTGGAAATTGAGGCACATAGAGAGGTTAAGCAACTTGCCTAAGGTTATCCAGCCAAGATTCAACCCAGGTAACCTAGCTCCAGAGTCCAAGATCTTAACCACAATGCTTTACTAAGAAATTTTAACCTCTTAGACATTTATCTAAAGACAGATATATCTCTGCTAAGGGGGATTTGAAATGCAAAAGCTAGTCACCAGGGTTAAGGGCAAAGCGATATATCCAGAAAAGACATACCACCTATTTTGGGACTTCCATGTATCACACTCATTTCTGGAGAGTTGATTCTGCCTCATAGGGATCCTAAAGAACAGAATAGAATAGCCCCATATGGTTTACAAGGCTGCAATCTTTTCAGAAGTAGACTGCCACATCTTTCTCCCATGAAGCACCTTGGCAGTTCAACCTTTTGGTTAGCAGCTGAGCACTCAAGCACTGCCCCACCAGGGCTTCTTTTCTATACAACACAACATAAGTGCTTTTCTACTTTTTTACATATACACTTTGACTTCTTGTTCATCTTAATAGTTACAAACCCTAACTAATAGTTGAGGCCCAAACACAAAGTCACTTCTTGCCTTATACAATCAGGCATAAGATTCTTACCTGTCCCCCACAAACTATCATCTACTTGTTAAGTCTTATACATACCTTTTTAAAAAAATTATTATGTATTTAAAGACAAGGAAGACTAAGTAAAGCACCATAGTGAAATGTGCAAAGACCAATAGTTAGAAAATTAAAGAAGAAGAACATGCTTGGCATTCCTCAAGCATAAAGAACTGAAGAAAAAATTGAGGGCTTGAGTTGCAATATTGAAAGATTCTACGGGAAAAATAGTGAATGATACAGGAAGCATCAAAAGAAGATGGAAGGAATACACAGAGTCATTGTATCAAAAAGAATTGTTCAATATTCAACCATTTCGAAAGGTAGCATGTGATGAAGAACTGATGGTACTAAAAGAAGAAGTCTAAGCTGCATTGAAGGAAATGGCAAAAAACAACGTTCCAGGAATTGACAGAATATCCATTGAGATATTTCAACAAATGAATCCAGCACTGGAGGTGCTCACTCATTTATGCTATGAAGTTCCACAGACAGCTTCCTGTCTAACACACTGAAAGAAACCAATGTACGTACCCATTTCAAAGAAAGGTGATCAACAGAATGTGGAATTTATCGAGCAACATCATTAATATCACACATGAGTAAAAGTTTGCTGAAAATAATTCAAAAATGGTTGCAGCAGTATATTGACATGGAACTTTCAGAAATTCAAGCCTCAGAAGAAGATGTGGAATGAGGGATATCATTGCTGAGTCAGATGGATCTTGGATGAAAGCAAAGAATACCAGAAATATGTTTACCTATGTTTTATTGAATGTGCAAAGTCACTCAACCACATGAATCATAATAAATTATGGATAGTACTGCAAAGAATGGGAATTCGAGAATACTTAATTGTGTTCATGAAGAACCTATACATAGACCAAGAGGCAGTTGTTCAAACAAAACAAGAGATCTACTGCATGGTTTAAAATTAGAAAAGGTACTTATTTAATCTGCATACTAAGAAAATAATCCAAGAAACTGGTGAAGAAGAACATGACATCAGGAATGGAGGAAGACTCATTAACAACCTGTGATATGTTGATGACACAACCTTGCTTGATGAAAGTGAAGATGACTTGAAGTGCTTACTGATGAAGATCAAAGACGACACAGCCTTCAGTATGGATTACACCTCAACATAAATAAAACAAAAATCCTCACAATTTGGACAAATAATCAACATCACGATAAACAGAGGAAAGATTGAAGTTGTCAAGGATTTAATTTTTCTTGGATCCACAATCAATGCCCATGGAAGCAGCAGTCAGGAGATGAATTGACTGCACTGGGTAAATCTGCAAAAGACCTCTTTCAAGTGTCAAAGAGCAAAGATGTCACTTTGAAGACTAAGATGTGTGTGACCCAAACCATGATATTTTCAATAGTCTTACATGCATGTGGAAGGTGGATAATAATTAGGAAGACCCAAGAAGAATTGATGCATTTAACTGTGGTACTGGTGAACCATGGACTGCCAGAAGAACAAGCAAATCTGTCCTGGAAGAAGTAGGCTTGAATGTTTCTTAAAACAGAGAATGGCCAGATTTCATTTCATGTACTTTGGTTATGTTGTCAGAAGGGACCAGTCCCTGGAGAGGATATCACGCTTGGTAGAGGGTGAGCAAAAAAGAGGAAGACCCTCAGTGAGAAGCACTGACACAGTAGCTGCAATGATGGGCTGAAGCACAGAAACACTTTGAGGATGGTGCAAGACTTGGGAGTGTTTTGTTCTGGTGTACAGCTGTGAGTCGGGACTGACTTGACAGTACCTATGAACAACACACAATAAAGTCAAGGACTATGTCTTATTCATTTTGGGGTCCTAGCAGTGGTTAAAGTGCTCTGTTGTTAACTGAAAGGTCAATGATTCGAACCCACCAGTTGCTCAATGGGAGAAAGAGGTGGCAGTTTGCTTCCATAAAGTTTTACTGTCTTGGAAACCTTATGGGATAGTTCTCCTCTATCCTATTGAGTTGCTATAAGTCAGAATTGACTCAATAGCAGTGAGTTTGGTGTTTTTTTATGGTTTTATAGGGTCAACAGAGAAAGACCTGGAGATCTAGTCCCATAAATATGACTGCCTAGTAAACCCCATAGGAGCTCTGGTAGCATAGTGCCTAAGGCACTTGACTGCTAACCAGAAGGCTGGCGGTTCAAACCCACCAGCCACTCCTCAGAAGGAAGGTTGGGCAGTCCTACTTCTGTAGTGATACTGCCTCGGAAACCCAAGGAGGGGTCGCTATGAGTCGGGGGCGACTCGATGGCAAATAACAACAACAACAACAGTAAACCCCATGGGGGCAGTTCTACTCTGTCATAAAGAGTCGGAGTTGGCTAGATAGCACAGAACAACAACTCAGGATCCATGGAGTCCCTGGATGGCACAAATGGTTAAGTACTTGGCAAACTTGGTTGGTGGTTTGAACCCATGCAGAGAAAGACCTATTGATTTACTTCTGAGCTCCCTATGGAGCTCAGTTCTATTCTGGAACACATGGCATGAGTTATAATGGATTTCTTGGCAACCAGTATGGTTTTAGAATGGGGCCAATGAAGTCCCTGGATGGTGCAAACAATTAAGTGTTCGGTTGTTAACCACAAGGTTCGTGGTCCAAGTTCAAATGAGGATTCAGAGTAACAAACTTAGTATCATCATCCTCCATTTGTCATTTCTTTTCTAGAACCTGACTCGTCTCTCAAAATGACTATTGAATATCTCCACATGAATGGTCCAGATACCATTTCAAATAATATAATTCAAAATAAAACTCATCATTTTCTCCTCCCTACTACCTTCTCTGATCTCTCATCTCTCCCCTCCCTCTCCGAAATGTCTCTTGAATCTGCCCCCTTCCTATTTTACTGCTGCTGCTGTTTCTGATCTTATTCTCACTGCCCTAGATTATTGTTCCATTCTTCTAGAATCTCCCCCTTCCATCTCCTACTTTATTGTTTTGCTTTTTAAAGTTTTATTGTGATTTGGGTGAATGTTTAAAGAGCAAATTCATTTTCCATACAGCAGTTCATACAGATTTTGTTTCCTGACATTGCAATTTCCCACAATGTACCAACTCTCTTCCCATTTCCTCCCTATAGTTACCTCTTCACTGTGTCTTTTTGTCCTATGCATTTATCTCCCTGGAGCTATCTCCCTGCACAAATACTGCCCTCTGATCTCCCATGATTGATCATTCTAAGGAGTTTATCTACCTGATGTAAATGTTCACCCTATATGCCTGCCTACTATTTGGCCAGAAGCCACAAGAATGAATTCAGTTCCAGACCTGAAGGGTAACTAGGGGCCATAGTTTTGGGGGTCTCACCAGGCTCTATCAGACCAGTAAACCTGGTCGTCTTCTTCTTATTATTATTATTTTGAGTCTTGTTCCACATTGTCCTCCCACTCTATTGAGGATCTCCTACACTGATCCCTTTCTGAGTGGTTGACAGTGGTAGCTGGGCACCATCTAGTTCTTCTGGTCTCATGGTCACATAGGCTGAGGTTTTCATGGTCCACTAGTTCCTTGGACTAATTGTTTCCATGCGTCCTTGGTTTGTTTCATTCTTCCTTGCTCTAGATGAGGAAAGACCCATTGTTGTATCTAGATGGCTGCTCGCAAGCTTTTAAGAACCTAGTCAGCACTCACCAAAGTAAGATGTAGCACAATGTTTTTGTGTAGTATGTTATGCCAATTGATCTTTCCATCTCCTACTTTAAAAAAAAAAAAAAAATCTACTGCCTTTTGAAAATCACTCTTATCAAATCATTAAGAAATTATGCCCCTTAGACAATTAAAATAGTCTTTATTCCTTAGTTTAATATTAAAGTGCTTGATAGTTTCACCCAATTTACCTTTGTTCCAGCCTCATTTCTACCTCACCTCACCTCTTCCCTTTTCACACACTAGGTCCCAGTGACCCCATATTGCTCTGAGTTTGTTTTGGCTCCCCGGGTACTCTGTCACTTTAAATTCTAGTAATCTTCTTAAGTCTCAATGCAAACATTGTATCACCTACTGAAGCTTACTCTGGCCCCTCTAGTCAGAATTTATCATTATCTCACCATATTGTTTAAACCTATCATTTTTCATTTAAGTGAAATACAGTGGATGTTATGATATTTTTTGTACACATCTGCCTCCCCTATAGAACTATTTATTCCATAATATCAGAGATCATCTTGTTTTTCTTTGAATCTCTCCATGCTCAGTCTAGGGATCTGCTCATAGTAAGTACTTTTGTTGTACAGTCAGTATCCAAACCTCACGGTATCAACACACCAAGACTTGAATTTTCATTTGAATATGAATTCACAGAAGAAAGGAGTACTTTCTGAGGTAGTGACATTTGTAAGATGACTATAAGCACACCAGAAGATCCTCCCTTCTTGGAGGAGAAGGCAGGGACAAGCAGGATTCTAAGACTGTTATTCCTGATCCTCACTTTTTAGCACTAGTTTCCCCCCATTCTTTGATAAGAAGAGTACCATATACCACAATGCATTGTGCCCCAGGTATTAAAAGCAACCTCTGGCTGTGACAGTGAGGAAAGTATCAGTATCTTTTTTAGGGACACAATAGGTTATCTGCAGTTACAGTAAAAGGATTGTGTAAGATCCAGTGGAGAGTTCAGTGAAAGGGGCTCAGACAAATCAGCCTCTCAAGGTTGTCCAGCTCTTCTGCCACACTCTAGGCATGTGTCATACTGGTGTTCTCAAAATTGCTGCTGTAGGTCATTCACCCTAAAGAAACATCTACTTTTCTATACATAATGAGCACACAAACTTTCCATTCATATATCAGAGGGCTTCTATCCTGATACCTGGTTCCCGTTGACTTACCATCATGATGTTTGTTCCATATTTCTTTTCCAAGTCTTCACTGCTGAGTTTGTGGTCATCCTGAAATCCATGAAAGGAAGAACAGAGTGAATTAGATACTTCCCAAAGACCCAAACACTGAGTGCTAACCAGCCCATGAAAGCTGGAAATAGTACTGAGGATGGGAGAGGAAGTATGGGAGAAAAAGAAAAAAATTCATTTTCTCAAGTGACTGTTGCAGAAAGGGACTGGCACTGCTTCAAGAGAGTCTTGTCCTAACTCATGGGCTAGGGAATCTTCTGGCCATCCCTGAAGAGTTCAGACTTAATTTGTCACTTACCACTTAGTAGCTGTCCTTAGATTTTATCAACAAAGTAATACATATCACCTCATTGTTGATTTCCAGCACATGTAAGTCCAAAGATACTTGTCTTCCAGGTACTAGCTATCAGCATACTTAATTCAGACCCAAATTCTGAGATTAGTTGAGGAGAACAAGCAATACCAAACCAGGCCAACTGTATTTTACTCAATGACTTGCTTGAGTAACAACCAAGATCATATGTTCTGACAACTTATCCATACAGGCCCAGATGGGTATCCCTGTCACCAAGAAGCATTCCTTTCCTTATTCATGGAACTCAGTAGGTCCCTGATTAGAGAAACCCACAGACTAAAAACTTGACAAATAATGCCAGTATGACCCACACTTGCTAATTCAACCATGGAGTCAGTAGACTGTTGTTGTGTGGCATTGAGTTGATCATGACTCATTGCAACCCTATACTAAAGCAGCATTTTTCACTCTTAGTACTATTGACATCCTGGACTGGACAATTTTTTGCTGTGGGAGGCTATCCTGGACATTGTAGGATGTTTAGCAGTATCCATGATCTCTACCCCCTAGATGGAAGCAGCATCCTTCCCTGAGTTGTGACTCAGAAAATGTCTCCAGAAGTAGCCAAATGTTCCCTGGGGGTGAGGATAAGGGACTCACCACTCCTCCCTCATTGGGAACCACTGGGACTAGGAACTTCTTCCTGTACCAGAAACCTAGGTTAAGCCTTCCTTATCTCACCTTTCTTAAGCCAGAGCTCAGAAACGACAAAATTTATTTATCCTTGTTTATCCCTATGGCTGATCCTTAAATTCCTGACTGTCTGAAACAAATATTTACACTGGTGTTGGTACCAGAACCATCTCTTCTCTTAACTATGTGGGAAAGAGTTTTATATTGCATTAGAAGATAAAAGGCCTATTATTTCTATTTATTTATTTAATTTTTGCTTCTTGTCCTCTCAGAATCTGCTTGGCTCATTCATTCATTCTAACAATTAATTTAATGAGATATTATCAGGTACTCAAAAGATTAAGGCACAGTCCTGATTACTCACTTGAGGTCCACAGATAAAACAACCAGCGCAAAGTACAGCACAGTGAGGAAGGCTGAAACGAAGGCTGGAGGGGCCCCTCACTGAAAACTATAAAACCTTCACAAGCTGACAGGCTTGATTAAAACAGACTTTAATCTTAGTGACCAACTCACTGTATTTCCCTCCTTTATCACTTTCTTTCAAGTAAATAGTATAGCCAGCCTTTTTTTCACATGTGCTGAGTTCTTTAGATTTGCCATTTCCAATTATGTATTTTCTAAGTATAACCCTCTCCCATGACTAGTTTCAGCTGAGAACTATAACCTACAAGATGACCCTGAGAAAGTTAACACCAAGCTTTGGAGCAAACAAGATAAAGGAGAAACTGAGATATCCTTGGTGGCCCGAGAGGCCTGAGGGTGCCCAGTCCCATATTCTCCCCCCTTGTAGAGTTCATCTTTCTAGGCAGGCATAAGGTACCTGAAAGACTCTTCTCCTGACCAAGGATGGTTTCTATCACTGACCTGAAGAAGAGCAGAGAGGTCGCAAAGCAACAACAACCTGTCTCAATAACAAGAAGGAACCATTATCAGCATCCCTCAAGCCCTCCTACACCCTTAGCCCAATTCCCTTTAAAAACTCTGACAATTTCCCAGCTCGAGGAGACAGACACTTCAGAGAAAAGATTCTCACTGTCTCCTTGAGTATCAAAACTCAATAAACCTTTTGCTTTTTCTCTTTAACCAGTTGTGATCACTGGCTCTTCACAACAAGGCATGAGGACCTTGTTTTCCTATAACAACCATATACTAAGCTCTGTTGTTGTTGTTATGTGCTGTCGAGTCGGACCCGACTCATAGTGACCCCTCCTTGGGTTTCTGAGGTATCACTACAGAAGTAGATTGCCCCATCTTCCTTCCGAGGAGTGGCTGGTGGGTTTGAACCACCAGCCTTCTGGTTAGCAGTCAAGTGCTTTATGCGCTATGCTACCAGAGCTCCTATGCTAAGCTCTAGACCTATACTATTGTTTGCACATATGTACTTCACACTTGGAAAAGAGTGTTGCTGTGAAGCCAAATACCTTTCTTCTTTCCTCTAAGCTTGGGCTTCAGGGAGGCATGCATGGGTGTCTTGCCACCCTCTGCTGGCAAGCATGGGTACAGCACAAAGTTGGGTCTTTATTGACCTTTTGCTATTTATTCAGAAGCCAGCAACACTTTGGTTTTTTTAGAGCATTGAGGCTCTAAGCACTGCAGAGGTCAGAATGCAAAAGCATTCAAGCAGTCTGTCACAAATTAAAAGACTTTTTGGAAGGTTAAGGTGCTCTCATGGCACAGTGGTTAAAGCATACATCTGCTAATTTAAAGGCCAGCAGTTCAAACCTATTGGCTGTTCCACTGGAGAAAGATGTGGCAGTCTGCTTCCACAAAGATTTACAGCCTTGGAGACCCTGTGAGGCAGTTCTACTGTGTCCTATAGGGTTGCTATGAGTCTGAATTAACTGGACACCAGTGGGTGTGGTTTGGGTTTTGGTTGAGAGAAGGTTAGAGAAAAGAAAAGAAAGAAAGATGTTCCTTTCTAAGCGGGGAAGCAGGAGAACACTTTGGTTAATAATGTGCAAAATCTTTCACTATAGTAACTACATGCTTACAAAGTGCTCCAAAAAGGGAGGTGCTCATTGTAATAAACACACACATAATAGATGGACATATATTCATGTTGTAAATTGCAATTCCAAGAAAGAGTAGATATGTTTTCAATCTTAAATGCTAGAGATAAACAGGAAATCATTCTTATTTATTGAGCATCTATTATATGTCCAGTCCTTCTTTATCTGATTTAGTGGTAGGCACTAGTTTTAATTCCTATTTTATAAAAGAGGAAACTGAAGCTTAAATCAAACTAGGATTTAAATTCAGTTAATCCAGTTTTAGGGCTTGTGTTCTTAAATGTCTGTCTACCTATCTTATTTCTCATGGTCACTTTATACTCAGAAACCTATCAAAGTCTAATGGCTTTGGTTGTCCTCCACAGGGTCTGGCTCAAATAGTTTTACTTTACTGGCTAAAAACTGGCAATTGGTTACTTACATCTCACTTAAACAGCCAGGGAAGAAAGAGGTTGGAAACTTCTCCCTCTGAGTTCTACCTCAGAGTGTCTCCAAGCAGAATACAGGAAATCTGCATAGGGCCTGACTCTCTGACAGATGTTAACACAGTTAAAAAAAAAAAAAAACAAGGAAACAACTCTCTAGGGAATTTTAAAATCTTTGAGCTGGACCTTTCTTTTGTAAGACAGACAAGCTCTCAGGAGGGCAGTAGTCAGTCAGTGGGACTCATTTATCTTAGGCTACTGACCAGATCAAGTTCTTCCTTAATCTCCTCTTTCTGATGATTCTTTTTGCAGTTCCAATGCTTGTTCTTCAGGCCACTGTGCTTCTCCTTGCCATCCCCCTTTTCTGTTTTCTCCTTGTCTTTAGTTCCACTGAGCTCCACAGAGTAAATTTCTGATGTCTTCTGAAAGAGAAACAGGGATAATATTGGCTCCAAGTGGATTTTCTGAAGAGATTCTGAGCCTCTTCTAGTGAGGGGCTCTCTGTAGGTCAGGGACATACATAAACTTCATTTTCTTGGTCTGGAGTGGATAGAGGGAGGAAAACTGATTGTAGGCAGTTTCTCTCCCACCTTCAAGTAACAATTTCCCACCTCTTTCTTTTCTCCTGGAGCTCTGGTGGTGTAGCAGTTAAAACATTTGGCTGCTAACCAAAAGGTCAGTGGTTCAAACCCACCAGCAGCTCCCCAGAAGAAAGATGAGGCAGTCTGCTTCTGTAAAGATTTACAGTCTTGGAAACCCATTGACGTCACTATGACTAGAAATTGAATCAATGGCAGTGAGTTTGTTATTTTGGTTTAGTTCTTTTCTGTGGACAGTTTCTCCCCCCCCCCCCCCCCCCCCCCCCCCCGCCGCCTTCTTTTTGTCCCCTTCCATCTCCTGCTAGTTAGAAGAAAGTTTGGCCTACAGAGCCTCTTTTTAGGGTGATCCTCCCTTGTGGAAAGCAAGTGGAAAATTATTTTTCCCAACTCTAGACAAGCTCCCTCCAAGGAGCTGCAAGGTTTCCCTAGTGCCTTGTTCCCCACAGGCACACCCGATGTGCATGCCCTTTCTTGCCTAGAGGAATGGCCACAGAGATCCTGAACCTCACCTATGCGGACAGGGCAAGCCTACTGGCACAACTCCTCTCAGACCTCATTCCATCCATTTCAAACACCCATTTCCCCAAACACCATCATCGAAAATAGTGCCTAACAGGTGCTATTGGAGCTGGCCTAGAAGTCAGTGGCCCATTCCCGTACAATTGGATTGAATTATTTAACCCAGACCATCCTCGGGTGCGAACCATGGAGTTTTGCACCTGGTAAGTGTCACTCGCTAGTGTGGAGGAGATAAGCTACCTAACCACGTTAAGTCCAGAAACTCACGGCTGTCCAGTCGGATCCTATTTATAAGGACCCTTCCTTGGGTTTGTAGATTGCCCAATCTTCTTTCCCAGAAGTGGCTAGTGGGTTTGAACCGCCAGGCCTCTGATTAGCAGTCAAATGCCTTAGGCTCTACGCCAAATCAGACAATCCACAGTTTCTGTCCCTCCTCCTCCCTCGGGAACGCAGCTTCTCTTCCTTGCCCTTCTGAGCTTCCACTCCCAGCCCCGGCCCGACCCCAGCACGTCTTGTGGGACGCACACACCTTGTCCATGATGCGGAGAACAGGGTGGGTGAAGTCAGCAAGGGTCCGGGCGACTCCGAGGCGCCGAGTTTGGCGCGCTGCGCAGGGCCCGGAACGCTCAGGGCCTTCCTGGCTACAGGCGAGGTCAGCTGCTGCGCGGACCCCCAGCGGACATACCGAGTGGGGCGATGGAATTCGCTCAGGTTCCAGCTGGGATCGCCTGGCCCTGAAGCTTTTAAACCCGCGCGGCCCCGCCCCCTGCACCTGCCTGGCCGGCAGTGGCCCAGGCCAGAGGTGGCAGGAGCGCCCGAGGGCACGCGGCGCCGGGAGGGCGGCCAGGGACCAAGGGAGCCTGAGCCGGAGGAGTAGGGTGCGGCTGCCCGAGGGCAGAGACCCTGAGCCTAGGCACAGAGCTGGCCGGCTCTGGGGCGCAGGGGCCCCAGCAGGACTTCTCAGCAGCCTTAAGCCCTGTGGACACTTGTGAAAGTAAACACTTGTTTTTCTTTTTAAAATTCAATTTGGTTACCAAATAAACGACTTTATAAACATATAACCAGGCTTGGGTGAGGGAAAGGGGTAACGCTTGTTCCTAGCAGCAACTGCTCTCTAAGAAAGTGTCATGGTAACAAATGACTTTTCCTTGTCTGTGAATGGATTTCTTTAGGCAAATGTGGCCTCAGAGTGATTTGGGGGGGTAACAAGAGTCGTTGAATTACTTTGCAGGATCCAGACAAAAATGTAGAGTGCTGAAACAGTTTTGGAGCAAAGAAGAAGGAAGGAGAGATGGGAGAATATAGAGCACCCCAAGGGGTTGTGAGGGTGGGTGGAACCTCCAAGTTCAGGAGCCTAGTGAACTCTGGACAAGGCTGCCTGGTGGCCAAGGCTGAAGATATTTGGTGTGTGTGATGAATGCCTGCTCACTTCACAATTCATCCCTTCCTCTCTCTTTACTTTCCTCCTCCCTTTCCTTCTAATCTTCCTTTCTCCTTCTCCCCTTCTCTTGCTCTCTTCCTTTCATTCGAAAAGGGCAGAATTTCTTCCACTATGCAGCAAGGACACCACCACCAATGAGCCACTTCTTAAAACTAAACCAAACCTTAAGGGACAGGAAGTCTCCATGGGACATCTGTTTTACATATGCACATCACAGAATCTTTAGAGTTGCAGGGGAGGTTAAGTTCTAGCCCAAACTCAAGCAGCAATGGACTTCTAGGGAGGTCTGTGTGGTACCTTTCCACCACTTCTCCTGTGGAGATGCTCTTCAAAGCGAAACTTAGTAGAGAAAGTAAGTGATATAGATACGAAACTGCTTGCTGGCAATTCAAGAAGTTTTGCAGGCACAGGTGGCTGTCACTCCCATCAGTGGTTCACCCGCTCCAATTCTTTGGACAGATATGGAGTAGAGATTCCAGATGCCCAGAAAGATGTTCCTAAACTTAAGTCCCAGTCAAGCTCTAAGCACAGAAAACCCAGCTTCATTTAGACTCAGAAAACCCAGCTTTATTTGGACTTGATTAGGAGATAGAAGAATGGAAGTTGCCTTGAAGACAGAGGAGTCCTCCTCACCTTGCCGTGACCACCATACATGCATAATATAGGCACCTGGAGTAGTCTAAACATGGTACAACTATGAAATGGATTTCCCCTCAGAAATCTCTGCTCAAAGCTTTTTGGTCTCAAGGGTTATCATCTACATTGTTCTGGGCAATGTGCCCTGAATACAAAAGTCTCTAACTTCTAATGACCTTCCTTGAGTTGGCTGTAAAGCTAGGCTATAATGTGGACACTTTCACTGCCACTCATGTCCTCAAACTGCAGCTTCTACTTGAGGGTGGGTTTTCCTGTCTTTCAAAAGAAGCCTTCCATGTCAAGGGTCTCCTCTGGGATTGTTCTAACTGATAAATATTATATATTTGGGACAGGCTGACATGATATGTGTGACTATTCCTAGATAATTTTTAATCAATTAATACTTTTAATGTATTTGAATCTATACTAGACGTAGGGGTGGTGGGGAGAAATGGTTTTAAAATAGTCATTCTCTGTCTTCTAGGAAATTACACTTGAGTTGGAGAGGTAAAATTCATGAATAAACAATAGTAAATGACCCAAGAGAGAAAATTTAGCACAAAAGAATACAGAGCCTAAGTACTTTACAAATTTAAAGAAGAGAGTTCTTTGGTGGAGATGGCAAGATTTTTGTTACTTATAATTTTTTAGATCATTTTCCTATTCCTTTGCACCTTCAAGAAATGTAGGGAGAGAGACAGAAAGAGTAGCTGAGTTAGAGACTTTTGTTTGTTGATTACTTCTGGTGGCTCAAAGGCACACTATGTATAGCCAGAGTCTAGTAGAAAGGACTCACACCTCATCTCCCTCATCTGGGTTATGAGGTGTCAATTTGAGGATTCGAAGTATAGGGAAGAGAATCAAGGTAATAATGGGAAGAGGAAGATTCACTTCCTGCTTCATATCTGGGTTGGCTGGTACCTCTACTGTCCACCCTTCCTCATCCTCTTTGGATTCCTCTCCTACACACACTTGATTGTTCCTCACCCAGGAGCCACCCCACACACCTGTGTCTACTCATCTTGCCAGACTATGATGAGGCCAGAATTTCTCTACTGACTGAGGGCCTCCTAAAGTTGGAGTTAAAATGAAAAAAAAAAAAGAGAAAACTTTAGCTAAGTACAAATCTACACTGTTTCCAATTTCTTCATTTATAGGAAATCCTGATATTAACATCCTACAGAAAGAAGAGAAAATAGCACTTGTACTATAGTGATGATTCTACCTGGGGCTGTTAAAAACAATGAAGAGAGAGCAGTGGAGGCTTTTGGAGTCAGATAAAGGCCTTCAGTATGTCAGATAGTGGCCACTGGGGCCAATATATGGGGAACGTGTACATAGCTCCATTAAAAAGTACCCATTAGCTGGGATAATTTAGGTTACTATAGTGTTTATTCTCTGTGACCTATTCTGAGTAATAAAATACTTTTTTTCATAAAATTATCATTTTCCTTTTAAAACATGATTGAAAAAAATTTACTGCATTCTCAAGTTTTTTTATTTTTTGATCTTAGAGTGAAAGTATTTTCTCCGTGTGAATTATCTCCACCTTTACCATGGAAATCAATGGCATAAATGATGTTAGTCATAAAGGTACATTGGACTATGCAAGAATTTGGTCTTCTCATGAGTGAAGTGATGTCCTCTGGTCACCAGTTACCACACTGCCCAGAGAGAGGGAGAAAAAAAACAGACACTCTAATATTTATTTATTCATGAAATGATTATGAGAAGCTTGTTACATTTTTGTAGCACAGGTCCTTCCTCTGAAAGACTTGTTGGGGTGGTAAGACACATAATCCCCAAATTAGAATATTAACTAACATAAGATATGTCACAAGCCAGTAAATGACCCAATGCTGAGTCAGTGGTTCAGACATGAAGTTTCCAGAGGAGCAGAGGAGGAATGAGCTGTATGAAATTGAATGATGGGGAGCTTCTTGAAGTAGGTCAGGTTGAAGTAATTTCCAAGGAAATGTAACCTTTAGTCTTGAAGAGAAGAGAAGTGCATACTCTACTCAGGCAAGGAGTGAGAGAGAAGCAAAGAGGAGGGGAATGGCTGATGCAAAGATGGGAGGTGGAAGTAGGAATGAACATGGAAGTCAAGTGGACCTGGGAACTGGGACAGATGGGCTCCCCAGGGAGTAGCAGGAGATAAGGCTGTCAAAATGGGACTATGCAGGACCTTCAAGACCAGAGCGAGGGGGTTGAGTTTTAGCCCTTATGCCTTGGAGAACCATTGAGAATGAAAGTAGCATGATGGAGACAACATTGTGGGGA